AACTGGAGTCAGCAACTACCAGAAAAAAAAAAGAAAAAAGTCAAAACAAGACTCAGAACTGAGGGCAAATCTGTAACAAAGGAAAAACAGTTTTATTCTTGTGATGGTTAAGGTTGGACCGTGATCCTCAGTGGTTTGGCAGTTATCACGTAGTTTGGCAACTTTCTAATGATGTAATCACCTCCATGATGAGGTCTGATATAATGTGATCACCTCCATGATGAGATCTGTTGTGAGCAGCCAATCAGTTGAAAGGGAGTTTCCTTTAGGCCATGGCCTGCATTCAATATAGGTGGACTTTCTGGTAAAGCTCTCTGACTTTTGCTCACTCTGGATCCTGCAGCTGGCTCCTGTTCATCTGACCTCTGGTTCTTGGGATTTGATCTAGCAGCTTACCTGCTGTCTTACCTGCTGATCTTGGGATTCATCAGCCTCCACACCCTGTGAGCCAGAGGCTAGCTATCTGACCTTCCAATCTTGGATTCACCAGCACCTGCAGCTACCTGAGTCAGGAGAAGCCTCCAGCCTGACTCACGAATTTGGGACTCTCCAGCTTCTACACCCACATGAGCCATTTCCTGTATAAAAATCTCTATATTTATTTACGTGCTGCACTGGTTTTGCTTCTTTAGAGAACCCAGCCTAAGACATTTGGCACCAACAGTATTTCTAGAGAAACAAAATTGTAAGGAACAATTGGTTCTCAAGTCTTGTTAGTCTTAAAAATGTTAATGACTCTGCTTGCAGTAAGTAGTAAAGAAAGCACTGCTAAACCAGGACATGAGGTGGCAATAGAAACATGTACACTATCACCACCAATAGATCAGGTATTGGTAAGAGATGAGGCTCTGGGTGATCACATGTTTGATACCTTTCTACACTTTTGTCATAATGAGAAGTATAAGAAAGCTGGTTGATTGGTCCTACCTTCACTAGACAAGGTGGTGAAAGAAAGAGATGAACTCAGAACTTCAGAGTCAAAGCTCAAGAACTGCATAAATGACCTCAAAGTTTCCACTTTTGCCTTTAAAGAAAGCCTTATTTCTTGTAGCAACAGAGTGAGTATGACCGAAAACCAAACCCAGAGACTTATTGTTAAGAGTGGCTGAATTACAATGCCAACTCAATTTCCAACCTCGACTGGTGTCCGAGGTTAAAGTGAGGGCATTGATTGGGAAGAAATGGAACCCCGAAACTTGGAATGGGGATATATAGGCTGATAAACAGGAAGCTGGGGACACTAAGCTCCTAAATTCCATTGAATCACTTCTACCAACAGAACCAGCCCATTCATTCCCATCTGAAGAAATTACTTCATCTTTGTCTGCTAAACCACCCTCTCCAGTAAAACCATTAGCAACTCCATGGCCATATGATGAGTTAAAACAGCTGTGTCTGAAGAGCCTTTGTCTGAGTCACTGCCTGGGACGTAGCCTGAGGAAGATGCCTTACGAGACAATGTTGAATGTTCTCAAAACATATTCCCAACACCCATTTTGGCTTCTAGACCTACAACTAGACTTAAGTCTCCCAAAAAACAAACCCAAACCCCTTGCTGTCGAGTCAATTCTGACTTACAGCAACCCTATAGGACAGAGTAGAACCACCCCATATGGTTTCCAAGGAGCAGCTGGTAGATTGGAACTGCTGACCTTTTGGTAAGCAGATGAGCTCTTAACTACTGAGCCACCAGGGTTCCACAGAATTAAGTCCCAGTGAGCCTCAAAAGGTGAAGTAGATAGGGTGGCCCAGGAGGAGGTATGCTACAGTCCAAAATAACTGCTTGACTTTTCTAATACGTACAGGCAGAAACCTGGGGAATATATGTGGCTATTAAGGGTGTGGGATATTGGTGCAACGAACTTAAAGATGTATCAGTCTGAGTTTACTGATATGGGCCCAGAAAGCACAGATTCTTCATTCAGTGTTTCAGCTCAAGAAGTTAGGAAAGGATCTAATAGCTTATTTGGTTGGGTTGCTGAAGCATGGATTACGCAGTGACCTGCATTAAATCAAGTTGAAGTACCAGACCTCCCTGTTATACTTTAGAAGAAGATATCCAAAGACTTAGGGAAATTGGCATATTAGAGTAGATTTATCAGGTTAGATCCACAGATCCACACATGGACTACCCAGAGGGCACATCCTTTATCACAATGGTGAGGAACAAGTTTGTGAAGGGAGCCCCAGCATTCTTGAAGACTGCTGTGATTGCTATTTTATGTAAGTCAGATTTGACAGTGGGAACTGCCCTAAATGGATTAAGACACCGAAATACAATAGGGTTGATTGGACCCTGTGGTAGTAGGGGCCAAGTGGTCTCACTCAGTGAACAAAGACAAGGTAGGCATGGTTATCATACTGGACAGCAGAGTCAAAGCAGTTATCAGAATAGTCTGACTAGTATGGACTTATGGCATTAACTACTTAGTTATGGTGTCCCTAGGAGTAAAATAGATAGGAAATCTCCTAAATATTTACTTAATCTGTACAAGCAGAAGAATTCTAGGTCAAGTGAATGGCAGTCTAATTCGAATAGCCAAAGTAGAGACAGGCCCTCAATCAATTTCCAGACTTAAGCCAGTTTACACACCCACAACCCCTTGAATGAAGGGGAGGCTGCATCCCCTTGAGGAAGGGCCCTACTAAACTGTCAAAAATTTATGTTAATCTTTCTCCCAGCCTTATCGAAAGGGGTATATGGCCTTTTACAAGAGTGACTGTTCACTGGGGAAAGGGAAGTAATCAGACTTTTTGGGAAGTCCTGGATACTGACTCTGAATTGACGCTAATTGCAGGAGACACAAAATGTCACTGTGGCCCACCAGTCAGAGTGGAGGCATATGGAGGTCAGGTTATTAATGGAGTCTTAGCTCATGTCCATCTCGCTGTCGATCCAGTAGGTCTATGAACTCATCCTGTAGTGATTTCCCCAGTTCCAGAATGCATAATTGGAATATATGTACTCAGCAACTTGCAGAACCCCCACATTGGATCCCTGACAAATAAAGTAAGGGTTATTATAGTAGGAAAAGCCAAGTGGAAGCCATTAGAACTGCCCCTACTAGGAAAATACTAAAGCAAAGGTAATACCACATTCCTAGAGGGATTGCAGAGATTACTGCCACCATCAAGGACTTGAAGGATGCAGGGGTGATTGTTCCCACCCCATCCCCATTCAACTTGCCTATTTGGCCTATGCAAAAGCAGATGGATCTTGAGAATGACAGTGGATTTTTGAAAACTTAACTAGGTGGTGACTCCAATTGCAGCTACTGTTCCAGATACAGTTTCATTGCTTGAGCAAATTAATAAATCTCCTAGTACCTGATATACAGCTATTGATCTGCCTAACACCTTATTCTCTATACCTGTTTTGAAGGACAACCAGAAGCAGTTTGCCTGCAGCTGGCTAGGCCAAAAATACACCTTCGCTTTCCTACCTCAAAGGTATAACAACTCTCCAGCCCTATGTCATAATTTAGTCCTCAGGGAACTTGATTGCCTTTCTCTTCCACGAGAAGTCATGCTGGTCCATTATATTGACAATATTGTGCTGATAGGACCTAGTAAGGAAGAGATGTCAGTGACTCTTGACTTACTGGTAAACATTTGCATGCTAGAGGGTGGAATATTAATCCGACCAAAATTCAGGCGCCTTCTACCTCAGTGAAATTTCTAGGGGTCCAGTGGTGTGGGGCATGTTGAGATACTCCTTCTATAGTGGAGGATAAGTTATTGCACCTGGCCTCTTCCACAACTAAAAAGGAGGCACTATGCCTAGTGAACCTCTGTGGATTTTGGAGGCAACATATCCCTCATTTGGGTGTGCTACTGTGGCCTATTTATCAAGTGACTTGAAAAGCTTCTAGTTTTGAGTTGGGCTCAGTTCAGGAGAAAGATTTGCAATAGGTTCAGCCTGCCATGCAAGCGGCTCTGCCACTTGGGCCATATGATCCTTCTGATCCAATGGTGCTTTAAGTGTCTGTGGCAGATAGAGACACGGTTTGGAGCCTTTGACAGGCCCCTACTGGGGAATCACAGCCAGCACAGACTCTTAGGATCTGGGGGCAAAGCTCTGCCATCCTATGCAGATAACTGCTTTCCTTTTGAGAAATAGCTTTTGGCTTGTTACTGGGCCTTAGTAGAGGCTGAATGCTTAACCATGGGCCACCAAGTCATCATATGGCCTGAGCTGCCCATTATGAACTAGGTATTATCTGACCCACAGAACCATGATTTTGAATGTGCACACCAGCACTCCATCATTAAATGAAAGTGGTATATACAAGATTGGGCCCGAGCAAGAACTGAAGGCACAAGTGAGTCACATGAGGAAGTGGCCCAAATGCCCATGATCTCTACTCTTGTCACGTTACTTTCTATTTCCCTGTCTGCACCTATGGCTGCATGGGGAATTCCTTATGATCAGTTGACTGAGGAAGAAAAAACTCATGCCTGGTTTACACATGGTTTTGCGCAATATGCAGACACCAATCAAAAGTGGATAGTGGCAGCACTACAGCCCCTTTATGGGACCTCCCTGAAGGACAGTGGTGAAGGGAAATCCTCCCAATGGGCAGAACTTCAAGCAGTGCAAAGCAGTGCACCTGGTTGCTCACTTTACTTGGACGGAGAAATGGCCAGATGTGGGACTGTATACCCATTCATGGGTTGTGGTCAATGGTTTGGCTGAATGGTCAAGGATTTAGAAGGAACATGATCGGAGACAAGGAGATATGGAGAAGAGGTATGGGGATGGACCGCTCTAAATGGGCCAAAGAAGTGAATATATTTGTGTCTCATGAATGCTCACCAAAGAGTGACTTCAGCAGAGGAGGATTTTAACAATCAAGTGGATAGAACGATGCATTCTGTGGAAATCAGTCACCCTCTTTTCCCAGCCACTCCTGTCATTGTTTAATGGGCTCATGAACAAAGTGGCCATGGTGGCAGGGATGGAAGTTATGCATGGATCAGCAACATGGACTTCCGTTTACCAAGACCAACTTGCCTACAGCCACTGCTGAGTGCCCAGTCTGCCAGCAGCGGAAAGCAACACTGAGTTCCCGATATAGGACCATTTCTTGAGGCAGTCAGCCAGCAACCTGGTGGCAGGTTGATTACATTGGACTGCCTCCATCATGGAAAGGACAGGGTTTTGTTCTTACTGAAATAGACATTTACTCTCAGTGTGAATTTGCCTTCCATGCATGAAATGCTTCTGCCAAAATTACCATCCATGTACTTACAAAATGCCTTATCCACCATCATGGAATTCCACACAGCATTGCCTTGGATCAAGTGACTCACTTCACAGCAAATGAAGTGTGGCAATGGGTCCATACTCATGGAATTCACTGGTCTTACCATGTTTCCCATCATCCTGAAGGAGCTGGCTTGATATAATGATGGAATGACCTTCTAAAGACACAGTTACAGTGCCAGCTAGGGGGCAATACCTTGCAGGTTGGGGCAATATTCTCCAGGAGGCTGTGCATGTTCTAAACCAGCATCCAATATATGGTGCTGTTTTTCCCATAGCCAAGATTCATGGATCCAAGAATCATGGAGTGGAAATGGGAGTGACACGACTTACAATTACCTTTAGTGACCCACTCACAAAATTTTTACTTCCTGTCCTCGTGACCTATGCTCTGCAGGTCTAGAGGACTTATTTCTAAAGGAAGGAATGCTTCCTTTAGGAGACACATCACTGATTCCATTGATCTGGAAGTTAAGAATGACACCTAGCCACTTTGGGCTCCTTATGCCTCTGGATCAACAAGCAAAAAAGGGAGTTACCACATTGGCTGGTGTGACTGATCCTGATTACCAAGAGGAAATTGGATTGATATTACATAATGGAGGTAAAGAAGAGTAGGTCTGGAATGCAGCAGATCCCATGTTCTGTGATTAAAAGTAATTGGAAAACTACAGGAACTTCAATTCTGACATGTCTACTAATGGCCCAGACCCTTCAGAAATGAAGGTTTGGGTCACCCCATGTGGCAAAGAACCATGACCAGCGGAGGCGCTTGCTGAGGACAAAGGGAATATGGAATGGGTGGTGGAAGTTCTAAATACCAGTTATGACCACGTGACCAGTTGCAGAAACGAGGACTGTAATTGTTATGAGTATTTCTTCTTTGTATGTGGGTATCATAGATTGAATTGTGTCCCTCAAAAATATGTGTCAACTTGGTAAAGCCATGATTCCCAGTACTGTGTAATTGTCCTCCATTTCGTGATTGTAATTTTACGTTAAAGAGGATTAGGGTGGGATTGTAACACCGTTACTAAGTTCACATCCCCGATCCAATGTGAAGAGAGTTTCCCTGGAGTGTGGCCTGCACTACCTTTTATTTTACAAGAGATGAAAGGAAAGGAAAGTAAGCAGAGAGTGGGGACCTCATACCACCAAGAGAGCAGTGCCGGGAACACAGTGCATCCTTTGGACCTGGGGTTCCTGCGCGGAGAAGCTCCTAGTCCAGGGGAGGATTGATGACAAGGACCTTGCTGCAGAGCCAACAGAGAAAGCCTTCCCCTGGAGCTGATGCCCTGAATTTGGACTTCTAGCCTACTAGACTCTGAGAGAATAAATTTCTCTTTGTTGGAGCCATCCACTTGCGGTATTTTTGTTAGAGTGGCACTAGATGACTAAGACAGTGTGCATCACTTATTTTTGTTTCCTTGACTTATCAAGTATAAGATGTAAACAGGGCTAGAGCATTTTCAGTTGTACACATGTTAGTTGTATCATGTTAGGTGCAAGTATGACTTTATAATTCTCTTTATTCAGAGATTATGTATAGTTTAAGGAGATGTGTACAAGTGCCAAGTTGACAAGGGGGAACTGTGATCATTAAGGTTGTGTGTCAACTTGGCTGGGCCATGATCCCCAGTGGTTTGGTAGTTATGATGTAGTTTGGCAGCTTTTTAATGATGTAATCATCTCCATGATGAGATCTGATACAATGTTATCACCTCCATGATGAGATCTGTTGTGTGCAGCCAATCAGGTGAAAGGAGGTTTCCTTGAGGGTGTGGACTGCATATAGGTGGACTTTCTGGCAAGGCCGGCTGCCTTTTGCTTGCTCTGGATCCTGCAGCTGGCTCCTGTTCATCTGACCTCCAGTTCTTGGGACTTGAGCTAGCAGCTTACCTGCTGTCTTACCTGGCATTACCTTGGAATTTGTCAGCCTCCACAGCCTATGAGCCAGAGGCCTCCTATCTGATCTTCTGATCTTGTACTCACTAGCACCTGCAGCTATGTGAATCAGATGAAGCCTCCAGCCTGACCCACGAACTTGGAATTTTCTAGTCTCTACAACCTAATGAGCAATTTCCTGTATATAAATCTCTCTATACATATATGCTGTACTGGTTTTGCTTCTCTGGAGAACCCACCCTAAGACATTCTGGTGCCTAATTAATAAATATAGGTAAAATTTTCACATCTGTTTAGGTCACTTGATAGTTTGCAAAACACTTCTGATACCTTCTAAAAGACATTAAGATATGGTGGTTGCCAACTTTAATTAATATTTCTGAAACTGCATTTTCTCTTCATAGAAAAAAATAAGGAATAATGATATCTTACAATTTTAATGTGATGACTGTTGAAGTCAGTGTGTTAGAATAGAAAGTATATTTCATATTCTGACAGTCCTAGATTTCAAGTGGACTGTTATATTTATTGGTTGAATAATATTTTGCTAATTGGTTACTTGCATTATATGATGATTATCTTGTAAACTTCGAATAACAATGTGAAGAACCATAGAATATAATAAAAAGAAATAAATGTAATTAATATATAAGCTTTGGAACAAAATAAGAATTCAACGTACGGTTGTTGTTGTTGGTTGTTGTTGAGTCAGTACCCAATTTGCGGCCACCCCGTGTGTTTCAGAGTAGAATAGCTCCATAGGATTTTCTTGGCTGTACTCTTTGGTAAGGATACGGAGAAATTAGAATCCTTGTATATTGTTGGCGTGACTTTAAAAAGATGAAGCTTCTGTGAAAAGTAGTTTGGTGGTTGCTTAATACGTTAAACATAGAATTACCAAATGGTCCAGCAATTCCACTGCTAGTTATGAGTCCAAGAGAAATGAAAGGGTGTATCTGCACAAATACTTGTATAGCAGTGTTTGTAGCAGGATTATTCATAATAGCCACAAAGGGGAAAAAAAACAGAATGTGAAAAATGGATAAAAAAATTGTGGTACAGTCATACAATGGAATAGTACTTGTTAATAAATAAAAGGAATGAAGTAATGATCATATGCTATAATGTGGAATAATCTTGAAAACGTAAGTGAAAGAAGTCAGTCTCAAAACAAACACTGTCCTAATACATTTCTTAGGGAGCATGTGTGGCACAAATTGTTTGTGATCTGCTTCTAAATCAAAGGTTGGTGGTTCAAACTCACCCAGAGGTTCTGCAGAAGAAAGTCCTGGCTATTTGGTTCTGTAAAGATTACAGCCAAGAAAATCCTGTACTGTAACACATGGGGTCACCATCAGTCAGGGGCCAACAAGACAGCAGCCAACAATAACAGTCAATTTCTAAAAGAATATTATACCTCTTCTAATTAATATAAAAAATCTGGACAAAAGCCAAAGATGTAATTGATCTCATTCTCTCTCTCTCTTTTCTTTGAAATCTGCAAGGACATAGTCCCCAAGAACACTGATTGGTGAAACTTCCAAGTATATTTCAGGCAAGTGTCTTCAAATAGCACTAGTCCATTAATGTAGGTCTCTTTTGGTTTCTTGTAATAGTGTTTTGTAGTTTTCTTTACATCCCTGGTTAGATTTATTCCAAAGTATTTAATCATTTTAGCAGCTATTATAAATGGTATTATTTTACTGATTTCCTTTTTTGAAGTTCTCTTTGTTGGTCTATAGGAATCCAATTGATTTTTGTATGTTAATCTTGTATCTTACTTCTATACTGAATCTTTCTGTTAGCTCTAGCAGTTTTCTTATGAAAACTTTGGGGTTCTCTATGTATACGATCATATCATCTGCAAATAGGGATAATTTTATTTCTTTCTTTCGTATTTGGATGTCCTTTATTTTCTTTTTCTTGCCTTATGGCTCTATAAAGGACTTCCAGCACACAGTGTGAAATAGGAGTGGTGCTAAAGGGCATCCTTGTCTTGTTCCCATTCTCAAGGAGAATGCTTTCAGTTGTTCTTCACAGAGAATGATGTTGGCTGTTAGTTTTGTGTAGATGCCCTTTATTATGTTGAGGAATTTACCTTCTATTTCTCTTTTATTGAGAGTTGTTATCAAGAATGGGTGTTGGACTTTATCAAATGCCTTTTCTGTATTGATTAAGATGATCATGTAATTATTTTATTTTGTTCTATTTATATAGTGGATTACATTGATTGATTTTCTAACATTGAACCATTCCTGCATACCTAGTATGAATCCACTTGGTCATGGTGTATTACTTTTTGATATGATGCTGAATTCTATTGACTAGAATTTTGTTGAGAATTTTTGCATCTATATTCAAGAGGGACACTGGCCTGTAATTTTCTTTGTTTGTGGTGTCTTCACCTGGCTTTGGTATCAGGGTTATGCTGGATTCATAGAATGAATTGGGGAATATTCTTTCCTTTTATATGCTCTGAAATAGTTTGAGTAGTATTGGTGTGAGCTCTTCTCTGAATGTTTGATAGAATTCTCCAGTAAAGCCATCCGGGCCCAGGCTTTTTTTCTTGTTGGGAGTTTTTTTTGTTACCTCTTCAATCTCTTCTGTTCAGATTTTCTATCTCAGTTTGTGCTAGTGTAGGTAGGTAGTGTGTTTCTAGAAATTTGTCCACTTCCTCTAGTTTCTCAAATTTGTTGGAGTACAATTTTTTGTAATATTCTGTTATGATCCTTTTTATTTCAGTTGATTCTGTTGTGATGCCCCTTGTCTCATTTCTTTTGTGGGTTATTTGCTTCCCCTCCTGTTTTTCTTTAGTCAGCTTGGCTAGTGGTTTGTCGATTTTGCTGATCTTTTCAAAGAACCAACCTTTGGTCTTGATTGTTTCTATTGTTTTTCTGTTCTCCATTTCATTTA